CCAGAACGTTGGGTGGTCATGCACACTTCTTGCACCCTAATCTCAAACGACTCATCCTTCCATGCATGTCTAACATTCGATACTCATTGCCAGTCATTTGCTATAAACATTCATACCATGCGTTACTATCCTCTACGGTTACTCTGAGACTTGGTAATTCAAATAGAGTACGGTATTAAGGCGTAAATTTTATAGTCTTTTGAATAATTGTTAAAAGGTTTCTTGAATACCGATCGAAAGGATAGTCAATAGACTTTCTTTATATCTTGCAAGGCTTTATATAAAAATAACAAGTATTTGCAACATATTAATAATTTCAAACTAAAATATTCGAACGAAAGAGAAGAAAATCATCTCTATCGCGAATCCTTCGTTTCTACTGAACGATCTATTAAAGATATTTTGATTAAATCTCCTGAACAATGAAAAATGAAAATCAAATGTATTTCCCTACTCTGAGCGCGTTAATCGCTTTATTATTCATTAAACATGATTTCTTCTCTCTTTCTCTCTGTCCTCCTTGAAAGGAGGTAGAAGAGGAACGAAATGGAGAAAGAAGCGAGGAGGGGAAAAAAGAAGGGAAAAAGTGAGCAAAGAAGGCGAAAAATAAGAAGAGAAGGGAGAAGAAAGAAAGGAAGAAATAAGAAAAAAGTAAAAGAGAAAAATGCAAGGAGCAAAGGGGTCAGGCAACGCAAGAAAAGAGACGAGAGAGCAGGCTTGAAGAAAAGAGAAGAAGAGGGAGAGAGGAGGCAGAGCAACGGGCTTGGAAAATGAGAGACGAGACATGCTGGTGAATGGCAATGGCCTGGAGTGTACCAGAAGAGTGAACCAGAAGAAGGAGAAAACCAGAGAGAGGGGGCAGAGGTGAGGAGGAGAGAAAGGAGAGAGAGAGAGTGAGAGAAAGAGAAGGAAAGAGAGCAGGACTGTGCAGCAGGCCATCACAATATGTTCTGGTTGCTTCGGTCTGTCCGTTCGTTCCTGTGCACGTCCGTACGTCTGTCCGTTGTCTGCCCTGGCACTCCAACCGAGTGCATAGCCGTCTGGCCCCGGTGGAGGGTCTCTGACCGATTATCACTTGGTCTTTATACTCTTTGAGGTTCTTTTAAACGTCTCTCCGTTCTTCTACTCCACCTCCTTTTACTACGTTCGTTCCTTCTCATCGCGCCTCGCATCTCCGCGGTCTTTCTACCTTCTCCCCTCCCTCCACCCCACCCTTTTCTTCTTCTTCTCCTTCTTTGTCCCCATTTTTTTTTTTTCTATCTTTTTTTTCCTTTTTTTTCTTCCATACGAAACTCTCTTTACCCCCCGTTACCGGCCCTCTCTATCTCACGATCCGACGACCAGCGCTTATACTTCTCTTATCCTCCTCTTGTTGCACTCTTTGCCGAGTAGTTTCGAGGAAATTATTATTTCGTTCGTTACATCGTTCGTCAATCAACGATCCTTTGTAACATTGTCCTTATTTTTTCCCGCTTTCCTAGTTTTCTTAATTCTTTTCTTCCTTTTTTTTTTTATAGCTTTGCGATAGCTTTGAGATTTTTAATTTTTCTTTCTGAACAGTTTCGTAGAAATTATTATCGTTCATATCGAGGAGAAGATTCACTCTAATATTTTTCCTTAATTTTTCATCTTGTGTTATCTTTGTGGAAATTATTTTTTGTTTATATCAATCCTGTTCTTTTTTTTAACAAAAGAGATATTCCGTCGGTTTTGATAACCGTTGTGCAACAGATATGCTTTAATCTATACCCGATGAAAATATCGACGCTTCGTTAGCTCCGAATCCAACTCGTCTCATAAAGGTATAAGAGGATTACAGACGAAAAGGATTAAAGTGAAAAACAACGCGAAACGAATCGTACCATGGTCGTTTATCAGAATTCGTCTTGCACTTTATGGTTTCGTTAAACTCTATTCTTTCGCGAGATCGTAGAGCGAACAATTCATTGTTAAACTTTTAAACTTTTCGCTAATATTGAAATGACATTTGGCATTATCTCGATGCTTATGCTCTCTTTATTTTATATGTTACTTCCTCTCTCATTATTACTTTTCTAAAGAAAATTTGTATGTCCTCGAAACGTATTTTTCGACGAATATATTATAGCAATATATTGAAATTTAGATGTATGGAATTACAGATAAATTTTATTCTTAAAATAATTAAAATAATTTTACGCAATTGATCCATTCCATAAATCAACTATTCTACATCGAAATACGAATCAGATGGATGGAGAATTTTTAAATAAAAATATCAATTATTAACCGTAATACCGTAATACTACGAAATTTCAATCGCAACGATATAGAACGATATAGAATCGTGAATTAAATATTCAACAAATCATCTATTCCCTACTTTACTTTGGACAGACATGAGACATCGCGCCATTAACGATACCAAAAGCCCGATATCATCGCTCGCATGCGAAATAAAAATACCGATGCACGTGTATATCCTGGTTAAAGGGTTAACCATGAAATCTCGATTGCAACAGAGCCGAGGCACGGTGATTCAACTTGTCTGGCCGCGTAAGTGACGGGCAAAAGGTCGGCGGAGGTTGATAGTAACGGTAAACGGGGTGCTCCTCGGTGTGCCTTTCTTTAAATAGCATAGTTCTCGAGTGACCGTCCCGGTTCCACGAACCCGGTGTCCGGTTCCAAGTATGTCCGTGGAATGCTGCTGTCCAAGCGTCTCGTAAAACTCGCATTTTTACATTTTCTCTCCTTCTCTCTCTCTCTCCCCCCCTCTCCTTTCTCCCTTCTCCCTTCTTCTCGCGAAACCTCGTATCTCAATGCGCCTATCGGCCTACACGTTTCGCCTTTCGCCGACGAGATTCGTTCTCGGTTCGACGTTCTCTCCTCTGGGCCAGTGACTATGCACCACCGACGATCAACCGTGCGTGTTCAACCGATCTTCTTTCTTATGCCGGTGTTCTGTTTATGACACGGGCCGAGATCGAAGACCCCTTATCTCTAAGGCCGGAGAGATAAGGTTTATTCTCCAACGACGACGGTAGGCAAATGGTACGAGATGAGTCTGCTGCGTTGATGACCGAGAACTCGTCTCGTTGTGTCTCGTGTTTAGACGAGAGGAATATACCGAGGATATTCCGAGGCTCGTTGGGTATGGTAATGTGGAAGCGGGTATTAACTCGATTAAATCTTAACGATGTTGTGGTATTTATGGAATGGCCGGTGGTCAGAAAGATCGGGTAACGAGGCAGGCCAAGAGAACTGTTGGAGAGCCCGAGTTTTGGGCTCAATTGGGATTAACTCTGAATGAGGATAAACATATTTTTTGCTTCCACCAGTAGTAATCTGGAGTAATCTGGATTCGGTATTGTTCTTTTTTTTTTTATTTATTGTTTTAGGCTCTTTTCGTTTATTTAGAATTGTTGTCTAGTTAAATGTTTAAAGTGTTCACCGACAATAAAATACAAATCTGTTCAAAAGGGATTTAGAAATTAAATTTTACTCTGGACCGAGGATTGTCCATGGAGGATTAATTTTATTGCCTGTATGTGTTTTTTTTTTTGTTTTGATACGAAGCATCAAACAAGTATTATCTCAATAATTTGGCAAACTGATTTTTAGTGATTTAAATCGGTTTATTCCATATTAATAAAAAAAAAAAGATATGATATATTTTTTGAAATCACGAAGTTATAACTTTATGATTACGAAATTAAATGATCGATACATTTACAATAAAAAAAAAATAACAACAGAAATTTTTATATTAATTTTATTTATTTGATTACACATCACAATGCTATTATAAAAAAATTAAATATAATTAGTTTCGAATTACTTAAAAATATGAAACATTCGAATCTTTTCGGTCAAATTTGATTCTATTTGCATCTTTTCATCTTCAATTACTGATTTTTCCTTATAGATCGATACATGAATTATACTGTCCAACGTTCATCTTATTTCGTACATCCCGTTGAAGTAAAAATGGGTCCACGAAGCGGTGTATCATGAAATCGTTACGCGTCGAATTATTAAGATCGGTTGATTCTGGCGATGAACTCGACATCTCTGACGTCCTCGTTTCTAAATAAGGAACAGCACCGATACTATCACCTACCCTATCCTAAGAAATAAAAAGGGTGAACGAGAAACCAGTTTTCGTCACGGAGACAAAAGCTTAAGAATGCATATCGTGCCTGGCGTTCCACGATTAACCTTTTTGATGAATTATTATCATTGACCCAATACACATCGATTCCTCGCCTACGATCAATACCATCTTCGTTCAATCTCTATTCGCATTACTCATTTTCCCCTTTCTTCTTAATCACGATTTAGAAACGGTAAAAAAGATAAAAATTAAAAATTGTTTCAAAATGTAAATTAATTTCATATTTTAAAATCTTACGATTGATAAAATCAAACCAGAATACGTATTCGAGTTTGAAAAAATAGACAGAAAAATTGCAAGTAAGCAGTATACTACTTATACAATTTCTCAAAATTTGTATTTGAATTCGTATTCAAATACAAATGAATATATCGTGTATTCGTAATTCGAATTGCAAATATCCAACAACGGAATATCATTATTATTATTATTATTATTATTGCCGACTGAATACCCTCCTACGACATCCTTTCCCTTTTTATTTCCCTTGTGAAATGCCATATTTACATTTTCTCTCTAAGCAATTCGATTTAGAAGTAAATATTGGTGCACCGTATCGAGATTCGGTTGTACGACCGGCATGTGTCCCGTGTTACGTCTGCTGCGCGTGCTTGAGACCGAAAGGGTGACTCAACGGAACGTGCCGGGTGTGATGTGCCAAATATGCATAGATTCATCTGTATTGGAGAATCTCGGATTCTGTTCTCCGATTGTCTAAGGGGAGGAAGGGGAGGGAACATTGCGGGTGCGTGCCACGGATCGCGTGGCTATTACACTATCAGTAGGGTCCGTGTTAGGTGCACGTGGTTTTATACTACAACTGATCGCTTCTCTCTTGACACTTCGTGATCGTAATTTTTTCCCGATATTTTTCAAGAGGAATTAACTGTTTTAATAGAATTGTTAGGAGAAATTATTACGTTACTCTCGCGCGATGTTAATGGACACGAGTTTCACTTCTAATTTTATCGTTCATTTATCATGACAGTCACGCAGTTAAACAGCTAATCTATTGAATACAATAGTTCATGAAATCCTCGAGTAATGGATTAGCCAGATATATGTATAGAAAGGTAATTTAATCGGCGAGTATAGCATCTATTTTTGCCACTCATTCAATAATGAAATTTCAACGAGATCTTTAACAAGTTCGAGATTATATTTGGAAACAACACGCGTCGAATTCAAGCATACCTATTACAATCATGCCACGTGACAGGCTGTTCTCCACGAGTAAATTTTTATACAAATAAGACCAGTGTTAATTAATGTCAGTGGCACGTCAAGAACCATAGAAGGTGTAGAGACAGAACACGATTTGTACGATCGAGTGGCGAGTAATCGGGTCATCAGGTTGACTTGGGCCGGCGATTGGCCAAGAAACCAGACGATTTTCGCGACAGCACTCGTTGACTATGACTGTGACGGCGACTGCTGCGACGACAGCAACTGTGACGATAGTGGTGGTGGCGGCGGTAACGGTGGTGGAGCCGACGGCGGCGGCAGAGGCGGTGGCGGTGGCAGCCACGACGGCTGTAGTGGTGACAGTGGCGATGGCGGCGAGATAGAGAATTGAAGGAGACAGGAACAGTGATGAAGGAAGAAGAGAGAGAGAGAGAGAGAGAGAGGTGTTACATACGGAAGAAGGGGTTTAGAGAATCGCGAGATGGAAGAAGAGAAGAACAAGTAAGACGGGTAAGAGAGTAAGGTAGTACACGGAGGTGTGGGATCAGCGCGAGACGCGGTAGAAACTCGAGGGACGGAAAGGGGCGAAAAGCGACGAGCGCCGCCGAGACGAGACGAGGCGCGACGAGGAAAGACGATGAAGGCCGACGGGGGTCGCACACCGCGGCGCTGAACGCAGTGCCATCCGATAGGCAGCACCGCTTGCTCCACGGATCTTCGGCTCGTTCGTTTCGAGCTTCGGTCGTTCGTTGTACGATCCACGCTCGATTCCGCTTCCTTCTTTTTCGTTCGTCTTGGCGTGGCTGCCGTGGCGTCCATGCCGAGAAAGGAAAAGCCAGCATCGACACGTTACACACGGTGGAAAACACGGAGCCGTCGCGAAGACGCGTGCACTGGTCGTGTGTGTCGTTGCCGCGCGTAGTTTTACGTGTACTGCGTATACGTCTGATCGTGCTCGTGAACAGAGGTGCCCCCTCTCCTCATCCCGAACGGCGAACGCGTGGTGGTCAACACGGTGCGTGTGCTTGTCTCCTTTCTTTTTCTCTCGCACGCTTAGTAGTTCTTTTTTTTACTTTACATCCTTTCGCTTCTTTTCATCTTTTTCGTCTAACAGAATTCACCTTACCGCACGTTGTTGTTGTTGTTGTTGTTATTGTTGTTATTGTCGTCTTTCTTTTTCATCGATTTGCATTCACATTTTTGTTTTCTCTTTTTTTCTTATTTATATTTTCGTTTATTTTTTTTTTTTCTCAACGATGCTCTTAATCGTTCACTACTACCGTGTGATTCCACCTAACCACGTTTCTCACAAGTTGTGTGAGAGACAACGTGCGCGATAGAATTTTCTGCGAGGGGATACACGAGTTTTCATCGTGTACGCAAAAGGTACCCATTCTCGGAACGCAAGAGAGACCCAGCATGGCCGCCTAGCACAAGACGAGTCAGAGTTCCTTGCCGGTGTCCACACTACAACGGCAGTATGCTCTCTGTCTCCTTTCCTCTCTTCATCCCTTTCGCTCTCTGTTTCTGTCCGCCTTCTCCCGCCATGTATTCAAAGAGTACTCACTCGTGCTCTGTCTTCTTTACTCCCATATATACGCATACAGATGCATCACAATCCGTCTTCGTTTTTGCACAATGTTGTTGCTCTCGTTGCGTCGCTTTCTCGCTTTCTGTTCCATGCTTTTCCCTCGCAGTTCGTTCCTACATCTATCTTATTCGCTTCTTCTCTTCTTCGTTTCGTATACACGCTTTGCGGATTCGTCTTTCTCTCTTTCTCGTGTCTGCCCGTTTTCTCTTTCACTCCCTTTCTCTCCCAGTTTCTGCATCTCTCTTTCGTTCTTGTCCCCTGATCGCGCCTTTCATTCGAAAATAGAACGTCAGCACGCGTGCCGCGCACATTTTTCCTCATGAAAACACCGAATTCCCACTCGCTGACACGCGCGCGCGACACAGCCGAGCGAGCACTCGTGCTGTATTCTAACCTCACTTTCCGTGAAAAATTCTGCGGATCGATATTGATTTCATTAACACGTGTAAACCAAACGTCTTTATTAACTTATTGTTGTTATTATTCAATTAAATATAAATATTTCAAAATAAAGGAACTTTTATTAACCATATCATTTAATATCATGTACACAGCATGCGTTTTCCTTTCGGTCAATCATAATTTACGATTGTGTCTAATAGAGGCGCTATTTACCGTACCGGCAAAATTTTTCTGCGTCCTTAGATGGCGCATTCAGTTGCTCTTGAGACGCCATACACGAAGTGTGTGTATCAGTAGTTTTTGATCAAATTGCAAAGTGTCAAATGCATCAGAACCGATGAAATATTTTTATTGTGACAATAAGACGTATATAGTAGAGTTAGTTGATCTTTCGTTTATCGTCTATCGGTTTTGTTACGGTCAGACGGAGTCAGACGATATTCTGGCGGGAGACTCGTAAAAATAGTGTCTTCGTCGTTTCCTCCCTTCGACTTCGTGACTATAATTAGCGGGATTTGCGTTTTCTGCGTAAACAAATATTCATCGGTTGTGTTGTGTCAGCCACTTTTCTTCGTTGTTCGTGATTTCCTGTTCGATAAAGTGCATTGAATAAACATCGCGAAACACGACTATCCGGCCAGTCACCGATGTCATGGCTAAAGTCGACGACTATCGATGCTACATGAGTTTTGCATTAGGAGAGTGTGGACAGTAGAAACAGACCACTCTGCCTGTTCTCGACCACCATCCCTTTTCCTCTTTCGTGATTCTATGTTAGCGTATTCTAGGAGACGATGCCTGTAGCGGAGAAGTGGACTGAACTATTCATGTCCGACGACCGTTCATAAAAATAGGATTTTAGCGATTTCTCTCCCTACGATGCTGCGCTTAATGGAACCTCTAACGTGCTTGGTAAATAAATTTTGCGGACATTCTTTCGTGGATATCTCTTTCAATCGATATTTAACCGTTAATATATTGATACGCGATTTCGCGCATTTTGGACGCCATGATTAAAAGACCAGTCACGTGATCTATGAAATTTATCATCCGTTATATGCACTCGGCTTCAAAAAAATTATAAATTTATCTGAAATTTAATACATATTTGCATATTTAATAATTATTTATTCAATAAACATAAACTTTTCTCCTAAGAGTTAAATCCTTATTACCTAAACATTATTCTATATTCCACATCGTTCCTCGTTCAAAATACGTGGTTAATAATATATATATATATATATGCGAGTATGCTCGCAATCAGATATATCATGATCGTATTATAACTTTCCATGAGATGGCGTTCACTGCGATATATCGTCTCGATCGAACCTCGTTATCGAGTCATCTTATCGAGATATCAATCGTTATTATTTTTTTTCTTTTATCAGCGGCATCATGAATATTGATTACAGTTTATCTCGATCGTTCCCGCCTATGCAGCTGGAATAATTATTTCTCGCTCGATGATTACGTGCGTTTACTGCCAAGGGTACGAATATTCCCGTATAAAGAGCTATAGGGAGTTCACCGATGCTCGACGTAAATAATAAATTCACGCGATACGAGGTCGACTCAACGAAGGAGCGCACTCGAAATCTCAAGTGTGCGTTTCCGCGAGGCAACATTTTCATTTTTATGCTATATGTGCATGCGTGCGTGCATATAGAAACGCATGTTGCAGAAAAAAAGTAGAGGACGCGTTTCACGTGTGTTGGACATCGGTTCATTACATTGTATTGTCAGCACGCGCGTGCACGATGGAGACAAAAGAGGGTCGAAAAGGGAGGGGAGGGAACGAGGGTAGAACATAGAACGAAACGAATCATTCGAGATACGTTCGTGAACTATTTTCTCGGGGTTCGTATTTTAGGAAGTTGTAGGAAGCATGAGTCTATAGACCAGAATAAGACAGTGCATGGTGCACGGGGCTGTTCCTCTTTATCTCGTGGCCCATCTCCTCTTGTTTATAATTGGATACGTTTGATATCCGTTGTGCATTCGATGTCTTTATTGCAGTGATTTTATTTTCACTGTAGGATGGTTTATGCAGGATAGTTTTAAACGACTCGGGGTATATGCATCTGATTTTTTTTGATTTTGTAACTAAAAATGTTTAATGTAAATAATACAATATAAAAATGATTTTTCAATTATTTTTATATTCAGTTAGTTGAAATAAAATTATTGTTATATTTTGTTATAAATAAATTATAAAGAATTATTCTTTATCATTCTTTTGTTACTCGATAAACACGATTAAGATTGAGATAGGATTTTATATACAAATGACATATACAAATGGCAAATCATTCACTGATATCTTTGGAATCAATATTTAATTTTCTAATTTCTCGTAATTTATCCAAATATATCATTTAGATCGAAACTCGATTGTCTTTTTTTTTTATATTGAACACATATATGATATTGAATCTTTGATAATTATATTTATATCGTATCAGATGAAGAAAGACATATCAGTAGCTTTTTGAATCCCAATTTCCTGCATTGTTCGAATTCATTTCACGTCTTTTTGTTTCTTCTTATCGCGAAATCCACACATTCGTATTGCATATAAAACTTAATGATAACAGATCAAGCTATCCGTTTGTTTCTTTTAATCCATCATCAAATGCTTTAAAAAAAGCTACTTTCCCAAATTTTATTATCTTTATAGCGATAAATTTATATTTATTTAATATTTCGTTTTACTTATTTATCATATATTCATAATTCATTGGTGTAATTATATCCATAGTTAATCTTACATAGATGAAGATTTTTTTTTTCTACTTTTTATCATCAATAATGACACAATTGTATTTATAATAAAATATAAATCTATCTGATTTATAAAAAATTAAATTCTATTGATTGACTTTATTATCCCTTTATTATCAGACATGAGCGCTTCGCAGATAATTTGCAGCTCGTTGTTTCGTTTGGAAAGTGCATAAATAGTAATGTATATTTACATTACTTGATACGAGACGACGTTCTTCTTTGCATAAAAACTTTTATTTTAACAATTTTCATTGCAATTGGTTAAATTAAGCAATTGGTTAAGCAAACATGGTTGAATTAAAACGGACATTATTATAAAACGAGAAGAGAAATTACATTCAATCGTACAAATTCACCTACTATATATAGTTAATTTTGTCATTTTCAACGTACACACGATACGATACGATAAAAATTCTCTCATCATATCAGAAGCGATATTATGTTCGATCAAAGTTATATCAAACATTAATAATTCGAATAGAAATCTATCGAATTATTTTCACGTTGTATCAGAGATTAAATTCTCCGAATCGAGTAATCATAAAAACAAAATAATTGAAAAATAAAATAATTCTCTATAATTAATCTGTTTATAATAAATTAATACGAATTAAAAATAACCTTTTACGATTATTTGTTACAGATACATCATCGTAACCCTTCCTCGAGGATAAACGCTTGACGAAGAGATTCGGAGTGTTTGGAAGCGCGGTGAAGCGGGAACACCAGAGGATGCGAGCAGCGGAGGCGCGTTTACTCGCGAATGCTCGTCCGGCGATCGTTCCTGGCAACGATCGGCACGGCTCGCGATGATGGCGGAGCGCGGTCGCGTAGCAGCGATATCGTGGTTCGAGTACGCGCGACGCGGATACCTCGGTAGAAACGTTCGACACACGACGGGATAAATGCGAGACCGAAATCTCGTGGGTGGACCAGTTGTCGCGGCGACGAAGAAGAGGAAGAAGAAAAAGAGGCAGCTGGAATCGGGTCGATACGAACGGAGCCCGATCTGGTGGTGGTTAAGGGCGAGAGCAGGTGTCGTACAAAGGAGGGACGATAACGAGACGAGGTTGGATGTAGATCAGGAAGAGGAGGAAGAAGAGGCGGAGGAGAGGTCGAGGAATCTTGGTGTGGACAGAGGAAAGAGCAAGGATCTGGAGAGAGGAAGGAGGAAGGAAGAGGGGAAGAGAGTTGGTAGAATCTCAAGGATTCGTCGACGTCGTCATCATTATCATCATCATCATCATCATCATCATCATTATCATCATCATCATCATCATCATCATCATCATCATCATCGACAAGATCGGTCTACAACCAGCTGGACTGGACGGCCTCGAGAGTTTTTGCTGTAAGGCCGGGGGTTGTGGGGGCCACCACGGGGGCGGGGGTGGGTTTGCCCCTGCTTCTTCTCGTCGTCGCTGTCCTTGGCAATCAAACGTGCACGACGACGGCTGCGCCGGTGGTGTCCGATCCGCACGTGTCCCTCGACGCTACGCCTCCTCGTCTTCTGCCTCGATCAACGTTCGACCGTTCATCGTCGTCATCGTCGTCGTCGTCGTCATCATCATCATCGTCGTCATCGTTATCGTCCTTGTCTTCCTTTCGAAGAGCTACCCGCCGATTTTCCAACCTCCACCCGGAAAATCCACCGCACAATCGTTCCTCGAAGGGGGAATTGGATTATCGCGAGCAACTACCTTCCCCATCAGCTGAACGAGAAGATGGTTTGGATAAGAGTCGGTTGCTCTCTCCCTGGGAACGAACGACAATCGATCCATCCATCGGAAGAACGGATTCTTCTTCCCCGGCATTAGCAAGAGGAAGAGGAGGTGAAGGAGGCGGAAGAGGAGGAAGAGGAGGAGGAGGTCTGGCTCACGAGAGGACCAAGTCGAGACGGCGGCAGGTTGCCGCGGCAAGGTTGCTCGATGATCGAGGATCAGCCACTCTAAGCCTTGTTCAACCGTACTGGCTGCCGACGAGATCCCCTCGTCCCCGTTACACGGAACGATCTTCAACCCTCGTCGATAGGATCAAACCGGAGCGTGGCCACCACGTTGGTGATACCACGGTCTCGTTTCCAGGAACAACCGGAGCGACTATCGGTGCTGGTGGTGGTGACTCGACGTCGTCGAGCCTCGAGGATTCGAGCGTCGGTGAGAATTACTGGGACGAGAATTACTCGACAACCACGGCGACTACAAAGACTACGACGACGACGACGAAGAGGAGGAGGTTGACCACGGTACCTGTTCCATGGACCACCGCTCCGTATCGTTTGATTCATCGAACTGTGCCGTGGGACGACGACAGTGAAAATTCGGATAGATCCGCGGGAAGACGCGACACGAAGGCGAAAGACGAGGAAAGGGGGAAGATAGGCACCCCGTCTCGCAAAGACGGGGCCAGGTTTGTGTTCGGGGGGGGCGACGGTAGTGGTGAGGTAAAAGGTGGTGGTGGTGGTGTCGTCGAGTGGACCACAACAGTCGCCAGGCCGATGTCAGCGTGGTCGTATCCCGAAGATGAGGAGTCGGGAGCTGGAAGCGTAAGGACACGCCCGAGCCCGGAAGAGGCGGCGGCGAGCGAGGACGAGGAGGCCGAGAGTGGCGAGGAACAGGTCAAGGTCACGGTAGCGCACCCCAAAGGCTCCACGTCGTCCACGTCGACCACGGCCAGGACTACGTTGCCAACGACGACGACGCAGTTGCCACCGCCCAGTCAAGATACCTCTATGGAAGCACGTGAGTACCATCATCCAATGTAATAATCCCTCTTTTACGCTTTTTCCGTCTCGTTTCGACCACCAGGGAGACTCTATTCGATGCTCTCGTTTGGTCGGGAGGTGGGTACACGCGAGCCGCGTGCCTCTTCCGTTGCTTCTTTTGCCGTGCCTTCTCTCCCCACGGATCTGTTTACAGGAACCGGAGCTCGGCGCAGGACTCTTGGCCAGGTTATTTTTAACTATTCCAACCGTGCGTCCACTTTCTCTATCCTCTTCCTTTTACGCCCTTTTCCACCTTCAAGACGTGATGGCTCGTGCGTCTGACTGTAGGATGTACAGGGTAGGGTATTTTACTTTCACCAATCTTGATTCGAAAAAGAATTTTCGGTTCTTCTAACGCGTTGAGAGAAGATCGATGATTGGATTAATTAGGGAATATTTGTTTTTGGTAGGCTTTTTTTATGAATTTAATTTTGCCTAACGATAGAACAGAATTTGACTTAATCTAAATTATGCACCGAAAATTGGAAAAGATTGCTCTGTATAGCAAATCTGGCTACAAACGTAATTCTAATTTAGACTAATTTATATACTATCTGTGCACAATTATTCAATCATATCAATTGTGTCACGAGGCATTTTTATTATTTACTTCTTAAAAATTCCGAATAACTCGAAAAATAGTTCGTAAAGCACGAGACTCGAATGATTCGCGAGCATCGAGGAACGTTCGCGGAAGGAAGAAAGAATCCGAGTATAAAAACGGTACGCGAAGAAGACGAAGAAGAAGAAGAAGAAGAAGAAGAAGAAGGAAAGCTCGCCGTGAAACGTGTGCATCTCGTGTGTTTTCGATTACGCTTGCACGGCCGTACGCCGGCTGCGTACGACGTACGGCTCGTGACTTCGCGTATGAATCAGCCAGCTATTCTTTTCGCGCACTGGCCGACCGCCGACTCCGTCTCTTCTTCTCCGTATGCTCATTTCTCGCGCGCCTCGTCGCGCACTCCGTTCCGCTTTTACTCTGTCCTCGTCACACGCGCGAATGAAGCGAGCCGAATCCACGCGAGCGATTCCTCCGTCTTATTTGCCACCTCCCTTTTTCGCCCTTCTGCGTCGCCCTTCGCGACGACCGAATCGCACTGCCTTCCTCGTCAATCTTCCTGAACTCTTCGTTCCGCGTATACCGTGGAAAGCGGCTCTCAGTTCGTGGATTCTAGATCTCTTGGGGATGGAATTGGAGTACGGTAATTTGAATTTCAGATTTAAGGGGTAATAAGTTCGGATAGTTTGGATCGGTGGTTTTGGATGCTATATGATTTTAACGAGAATTTTTCTAATTATCTCGTGGACGAGTTTGTATTGGGAATTTTGTGCATTTTTGTGAATCGTGATTGCAAATTTTAAGATCGTTTTTCAAGTGGGAATTTAAGTTTTGATCGAAGGTTGTACATCGTGAAGGAAATTTTTTGAGTTGTAGTTGATTTTTATTTTGAAAAATTGGGGGATTAGTTATACTTTGGTATTTTCATCTCGTGAAATAATTTGTTATATCGTTGGGGAATTTTATTTAAACTATAATTATGCATACTTGCAAATTAATAGAAATCTTGGGAATTAATTTTTTGTTGTGATTAGAAATTTTGAATTATAATAGACTTTATCTTTTGGTACAATTAAATATTATACAAATCGGGACAGCTCTTTGATACAAAAGAGTTCTGCAAAACAGTTACATGACTCATAAAATATAATATACCTACTTTGTAGATTACTATCGGTGTATCTCACAATTCTAGAACAACTATGTGCAGAGTCGTTGACAATGTAGATCAAACAGTTGATGAGCAGATTCATAAATTCTTACATGAATATTCTTACATTCAGATTAGTATCTATATTCTTTAAGCTTGTTACAAAGCAGACTACGTTAACTACTCTAAATGAGATGCAACGGATAACATTTTGCAGCATCGGGCTACCAGCTTTTCCGACCTTTAATTCGGTGTAAAAAACGTTATAGGTTTTTCAGAGTGTCTGGCATGAATATTAAACAGGGAACAGGTGTAGTTAATTCATGAAAATTACAACTTGACTAACAAAATTATACCAGAGTAAGAAAAAAGAATTTGTTACGTTCTAAATAAGTAGATATTTCTTCAACATGAGATTAGATACATTGTTGTTGTGAGATATTTAGCAAAGGAAATACTATTTCCTGTTTGATTAACATTTAAATTTAAATGTTAGTCAAAATACATTCAAGTCATACATTCGAAGTAAACATTTTTAAAAGGATTTATAAAAGATCTTGATGGAAGTTATAAATAGTGACTCTGATCGCATCTATCTGGAAGTTTCATATTAGCGAGACGTAGAAATAAAATATTTATTAGTATGAGAAATTTTAAATTGAAATATTTAACCCTTCCAGCGGTTAAATATGAATATACATGTTTTATCCATTTATTTTTTGTGCAATTAATTCAATACACGTTATCATATTCGATACCACCGTTGTTGTTAAACATAAATGGAAAAACAATATATCGTCAAATTGAAATGAATAAGAAAGAAAGAAATAGCAGGAGAACGAAACGAAATTTTATTCAAATCTTTGCATTTCAATTCATTCAAGTAATTTATGCTATGATATATATCAAAAGTAAAAGAGTTATTCAAAACAGCATAATTTATCATAAAAATTATGTTGTAATCTTAAAGTATTTTTCAAATAAAAATATACGGATTATATATATTTTTCACCAGTTTCACTATTATTTATCATTATTTATCAGTATTTTTTTACTGAAATGTGTATACTATTAGTAAATATATACTAATAAAATAAATAGTAAAATTTATGCAGTATTATGCATGCATTATTCACTATTTATTATTTACATTTTATTTATTACTGATATTATCCAATACTTATTAATATTTATTTGCTGATAATATATTCATTACGTTAACGAGGAGTTTTGAAATCTATTATGCTTATATACTAGCTCTTTATTTTTCAAAAATATAAGCATAATAGATATACATCGTGATTTACAACTATAAACATATCATAGCATAATATTATAATAACGTAATAACAGAATTAAAATTCGATCGATAGATACAATTCAAATCAAAATAAAAACAAACCATAAATTTCACCAATCATCGTAGATATACAATTTATCGACAAAAATATTACGTACCCATGTGTCAATCCAAAATCTTCATTTCGACAAACGTCTACACATGTCAACAATCTT